CCCCAAAACCCCAAAACCCCAAAACCCCATAAATTGAAAATATACCAGATTTAATGATGCCTAAAATCTTATTAAATTAATATTTGTATATTTTTATAAAAATTAGATCTATTAATGTCAACTACAAAACTCTTTGTGGAACTTCTTTATTCAAAATCTAAGATTTATTTAGGTAAATAAGGCGAGTAAAACATAATTAATTTTAGAGAGTGAGTAATTTCGAAAAGTAAGCAGAAATATAGAAGAATCTTCTGAGTTATTCGCATATTTAAAGGTTATTGACAAATAATCTAAAGAAGCTCACAACTTTTCTAAAAATCTCAATTATATTGATAGGTAAGTTTTAAGGATCTTCATAAATTTTCATTATAGAACTTATTATGATATGATAGTAAAGAAAAATGAAGGTAAGTATGCTGGTAATGAAGATTAAGCTAAGGTTGCTCTTCTATAGTACCTTGATTTAAACTACTCGAATTGGTTTTTATCAACCTCAAGCAATCAGATATAAATTGATATCCCAAAATACAAAAATAAATTGTCTGAATCCAATGAAGAAAAAGCTTTTCTTTTGGAGAAAGATACTAAATGGAGATAGATAAACCTTAGTGTAAAAAACGAGTAGATATTCATAGAGTATTAGCAAAGTTTACTACTGATAAAACAGAATACCAAATAGAAAAGAGAATCAGATGTAGTTCGCATTCCTATTGATCAAATTAGTAGAATCAGCAGGATTTAAATTGTACATAATAGACAAGCTATTACTGTAGAGTATAGCAAGAGTTAGTATCAGATAGGTTTCAATGGTTCAGAAAGCTGTTATAAGTGGAAAAATATGCTTAAAAAGGAGTATAACAGAGTTAAATATCAGAAAATGCATCTAATCAAATTTGGAAATTAAGAACTGAGCTAAAGTGAAATAATACCTTTGTATACGGATATGATAGATGATGATAGAAAATTTATGAATGAGAAAAAAGCTAGGACTATAATGTCAAAGATTGAATCTGATAGGAAAACTGAAGATTCATAGATGAGTGAGAAATCATCTGATGGTGTTTTTGAAACTGATATGAGTGTTAGATAAAGTTATGAAATGTTTGGAAGTAATAGGTTAAATAAATTACTCACAGTTACTAGTTAGAATGATGAGCTTTTTGAGGAAGCTAAGACATTAAATAAAGATATAAAGCAAGGATTAGAGTAGTACCCATACCATAGATCAATGAAAAGCTTAAACACAACTACAAACAGTCGACTATATTTTACTTCTAATGATAAATCACAATAAAACTTCTAGGGTATTATTATAACCTATAATGTTGCTAATATTTTAATAGAGGAATTGAAAGAAGGCTAGATTGGCAATCTCAAAATAATTAACGAAAATTTATAAGAAGTACCTCAGAATATTTAAGAACTTATTAAAAATCTTAAAAATATTGACCACCCTATGTCTGATGACCCTAAGAATAAATTGCTTTATGAAAAGAAAAGTAATGACAATTTAATGATATTCTTATTTTAACTTATAGATTTATAAATATACCAATCTTAGCTGCAAGAATATTAATTGTTTTCGAAAAATCAATTCAAATTTTAGAATTTACCTTTTACTATTAGCAAAATATAAGTAAAAGCATCTTATTATGTAATAAAAAAGGTAAGTGTTCTTTATTAATTGAAAAAACTATAGTCGATTAGAATGCTAGATATGCATAAACTCTGGGACTTGACTATAAAATCCATAGAGATCTTAGCTAATTAAGAGGGACAATCACTCTAGCTTTATCAAAGTGAAATTCAGTATGTAAAGATATCTTAAATTTAAATTATAAATAGTAATAAAAAGCTCGATGTTAACTATCTTTATAAATAACTGATGGCATATTCTATCGAATAGGATGAATGGTTTGAAATGATTGAATCTTCTTCAAATATAAATAACCTGAATGATCCCTTGCTTTTGTTTAAGTGTATAATTCTTGATATAAATTCTGATATAGATTGGAATGTGATTTAGCATCCTGATTACTGTGAAGTTATTTTGATGCATAGTTCTTTAATACCTGACTAAGAAATAAATTTCTTAGGCTATCTCAAACAAGACTTTATAATCTAAAGGCAACTAAAGTATGCTAAAACACTATTAAAAGGTCTTTAAAATTTTTGTTAAATGGCTTAAACAAATATTGAAGATTAAAAACAATAGATTATAAAGCAGAAAAGCCTTAAAATTTAAAATGAATTTAATGAGAATGCAAATAAGCATTAGTAGCTTAAGGCAATTTTAAAAAATAAGCAAATCAGCACAGATCAGTTGTTTGTAGTTAATTACAACAACTAGTATTTTGAAAAAGATCAAAGTTTTGATTTGAAAAATGATGAGTAGGAAGATTTTGACCTCAAAACTAGAAATAACTCCTAATTTAACTTATTGAATGGCACAGTATTAACAAACGGCTTTCACACAGCAAATAATTCAATGATCCAAAATTGATTTAGCATTAAATTTTTCTTAATAAAACATTCATTAAATGCTTATATCATACTTGAGGGGTTTTGGGGTTTTGGGG